CGTCCGTCCCTCAGCCACCCTGCTCTGCCGCCTCCCGAGGCGCCCAGGCCGGGTTTCCACAGGTTTTAAACGCGCTTCGTTGCCCCTTCCGTTCCCACCGCGGTTCGGAATGTGTTCGTCCTGCCTTCGTTTCTCGAGTCTTTCATCCAAAAAAACACCCCCACACTGGTGGGTGTTCAGCCGCTGGGGGGCACTGCGGAAATGGAGACGGCCTGGAGGGCCCGCGTTCCCTTCCCCGGGAGAGCAGAGCGTGTGGAGCGGGGGAATTGCCGGCCGGGACGCTATGGAAGGGGACCCCGACCCGCTGGGCAGCTGAAAGAAGGCAGGACCTGCACATGATCCACCTCTGGAGAGCGGCTCCGGTGCACCTCGGGGTGCAGCAGCTGGAGACGTTGTCACCCCCCGGCTCCCTGTGCCTGCTGTCAGGGGGGACAGCGAAGATTTGCAAATTCGAACGTCTGGACTGGCCCCAAAACCACTGATTTGCTTCATACAAGTAATAAAAGATGAGTGTGCAGATGATTCCCCGAGGGTACGACCAAGACGAGCTAAAGGAGTTCTCAATTGTAGACTCTGCCCACAGGGTCCAATCCAATGCAGTCCTCCCTGTTTGCTGATTTTTTGTGCCTCCCCTTTTTCCCTCAAATTGGTGGAATTTGAGGGCATTCAGCAGTTTCACCTTATGATTCCAGGACATAGTCCAGTGATGTAAGCCACGCTGAACCACCAGTTTTAGGGCAAAGATGAGTTTAGGTGTGTCTTCCTTCTGAGCTTAAATAATTTTTTCTTACTATATACCTGCATCTGAAGGATTCCTTCACTCTGAAACAATTCTTGTTTGCTCCTTGGAACATCTAGACTGGCACATTTGCTAATTCCCACTCAGGGAGATGTTGACACTGAATTTAGGAAGTGTGGGTGTGCTGCAGCTGGGGCTTTGATCTCCATAGCTCCAGTAACAAGGTGTGTGCTCCAAGACAGCCTGGTAACTGAGTCCCTAACTGGGGTCCCTGGCAGGCTCAGGCCTTGCTGTGCACCTTTGCTGGCTGTTACCTGAGCCAGGTAAGTTAACACCAGGATGGGTTTCCTTAACATGCTGAGGTGACACCTTCCACTAACACTATCTAGGTCACTGCAAGGGTCTTGAAGGGTTTGAACAATGCCATGGTTTTAAAGTATTGCAATGTCACTTTGTGATAAAATGCAGTAATTATTTTTTTTTTCAACCAAATTCCTGATTGCTGCTGATTTTTTTTGTGTTAAGAGGAATGAACATCATGCTATTTAATACAGACAAGTAACATGAATATATAAACTCATTATCCTGTACAGATATTATACATGCCTGAAAGATGAGCCCTGTCATTCTCACACAGCCCTGATGATTTTATGACAATATACCCACATTTTAGCCACTGAAGCTTTGAGAATCAATGTGAATGTATCTATATCTCGACAATACAAGTGTCATTAGCAGATACAGTTTGTACCAAGGAGATAATGATGTGAAATGTGCTACCTTGCCTCTTCCTGCTCTTCATTTTGCTCGCATGTGATGCTGTTCTTTGGGAGGGCAATTCTTCCCACCTTACTGAAAAGCAGTATGGAGCCGACAGGGAAACCTTTATCCAAATTTAACCCTGAAATAGTCACGATTTCTGAATGTATTTTGGTGAAAGTTCAGGCAAGTGACTTAGAAAGCTTCAGGCCACATCCTTGCCACTTGCATGGAGGCAAAGCAAAGTTCCTGTAGGTGAATTACTGTGTGTGGAGCCCAGCACGATGCTGCCAAGGGCACACAGGGTCCTCCTGCCAAATTTAATCGATAGCATCTTG